CAGCTTAGCTCGCTATGTTTCATCATGTAGTTTCAGAAGAGACTGTTTTGAAAAATAAATGTCTAAGGAATTGACACCAAAGAAATAGGGTTCAATCAGGTCTCGATTTGGCCCCTATTACTAATAAAGGGAAAAAAGTAGTATTATATTTTCCCGGCTTTAGGTTGGCCTTTTGTGTACCCAAGGCAGATGAAGGAAGTAAACTTAGAAGCGCTGTGATTGGATGAAAGAGTACAATATAATTTTTTATTTACTTGTAAAATATCTGCAGAGTGCATATTTACAATATAAATTTTGAAACCCATTGAAATATTTTCTTGAGAATTATTCGAAAAGAATTTTCATAAATTTGATGTAAAATTACTGTGGGCATGACTACCACAAACAAGCTCCGTTGGAAGATGGTAATGATACTATTTGACTTCAATTTCTATAAGGGGCCTCGGTGGCCGAGTGGTGTAAGTAGTCGAGCTACTGTATCACTAACCAATCAACACTGAGGTTGTGAGTTCGAATCCCGCACGGGGGCAGGTGCACTCGACTCCAATCTTAATTGAATAGGATTGTCAGTTTACCTACCGAAGGTCGGTGGTTATCTCCAGCTTCCTTCACCAATAAAACTGAACGCCACGAAATAGCACAATAGTTTTAAAAGTGCCGTAAAACACAAATCAATCAAATCAAATCAATTTCTAAAACAGAATTATAATGTACTAATGCCACACATAACTGTTTTGTCCAGGTTTTTATTATAAAAAGTGATAAATTTAGAAAATGTGAGTATTGTCGCTTATTGCAGAACAAATACTACCGTAACCTATAAATTTCAAATAAGGATTTATTGACCATTATTATAAAGTTTGTGTGGTTCAATCAGGTTTAGTTAAATAAGCAAGTTAGTAAATAAAAAATTTGTGAGAATGTTAATGATAAAATTTTCAAAAATGCATCAATAGAACAAGATTTCAGAAAACAATTCTACAAATGCCTATGAATTTTAAAGATTATTTTTTTGTTTACAAATATTTTTCAGCTTAATGCTAATATTCCTAAAAATTGCTCGGTTAAACCTGACAAATGGTCAATTATTCAAATAGCTAGGGTCGCGCGTAATATTTCTTAGACAATAGAATATGATACTTAATAATTATCTAAATATAAATATATGGACACAATCGCAATAGCTTAGAAAGATTTCTGTTGTTTTTACAAAAAGAGAGGCGAAAGATACCAAAGGAACATTCAAACTCATAAGTAGAAAATAAACTGACAAAGCCATGGCGACAAAAACAAAAAGACCAACGGACAAACAACAGTACATAAAACACAACATAGAAAACTAAAGACTGAGCAACACGAACACCGCCCCTCCTTTTTTTTTACAAAAACTGAGGGTGATCTCAGGTGTTCCGGAAGGGTAATAAGCAGATCCTGCTCTACATGTGGCACCCGTCGTGTTGCTCATGTTAGTACAATTCCAGTAGTAAGACTAATTAGACTTATTCGGTAGGCCACATTCTTACAAATCTGGTACAATCTTTTGACAGGAATATGACCGTTGCTTTGTATTTCATGCATATACATGACGAGAACAAATCAACAATAAATAAAATAGATAGGTCCTGTAGTAGAGGCCATCCAAGATGAAGGTCGGGGAAATTAGGACTGCGTATAGAAAATAAAGAGTATATTGTTTATTGGATAGAGACGGGGCAGAGTTGTTCCAAGGGCTGGCTTGACGTGTAGAGAGCGTGGCACTCTTTCCACAAGAGGCATCGGATTTAACGTCCCCATTCTGACCAGATGTGGCTGCGTACTAGTACATCCCGCACAGCCAAACGGACGGCTAACTTTGGCTAGGGTTTTTATGCCGGTGGAACAAGACCAAGAGTGACCATATATCCCGTCACGCTTGAGGTTTCATATAGTTGAGCATTTGATTGTGTCAGGTTTTATGGACTATCCTCTTTTTTTTTGTTCGTATTTCTGAAAAATGACGCAAATTCTCAAGTTAGTAAAAATGACTTATTCAAGTTTGGAAAAATAGATACGTTCCTTAAAAACAGGTGCACAATTTGAGGAGCTTTCTTTAAACAATTCCTTTATACAGGTGAACAATTTAAGATGTGTGCAATCGGTCTGTTCAGTTTCAAGGATATGAGTTAAAAACTGTTGGAAGGGGTTATTAAACACATTGGGTGTCCTATTTTTTAGGAAAAACTGCCTGCCCATCTGCATACTTTATGCCAGTTTTTTGCTTAGTCCAACCTGGCTAAACACTAAAATCAAAGGCAGGACATGACAAGCAGACTTGCAATTTATTTCTACGTGAGAAGCTAGATGTATGCTCATTCAAACTAATCTTTCCAAAATATATATCCATGCAATTATTATCTGTAAATTTTTCATTCTAATTTGCAGGAGAGAAAATGGGAAAAAAATTATAAGTAAAGAACATTTTTAGTCTGGGTGAATTCAATTGAATAAAACATCAAATGCAGAATTTGTATAATCCTTAAAATCCATGGCAAAACTTAGCTCTGCAAATAAAACATCAGGAACTAAAAGGAAGTTCGCAGCAGTGTCGACTCCATCTATTGTCCTCGGCACATTACAGGAACAGTCAGAAGGGATGACATTGTAAAAGACGCAGCAACAAGAGCTTGGTTATTATATTTCAATCATATAGAATCATAAATCCTAAAATGGAAGTATATTCAGAACAAATTTCGGATGCAACTCCTTGAGGGGTCCGTAGGTGACCTGTTACAAGGCTAAATTTATGTCCCTATCCAATATACCCTCATTTTCCCGTGGCAGTCTAAATTTTCCCGACCTGTAACCCAGTTGACCTCTATTATCGGACCTACCTATTGTATTTATTGTTAATTTGTTCTCGTCCTGAATATGCATGAAATATTTGCCACTGGACGTTAAGCAACCAACAATCAATCAATCAATCGTTGCTAGGTATTTATACATCCCGCCATGGTGTTCTTGTGCGTAGGTAATTTTTTGTATTCTTGTCTTTCATTTTTGCTTACGTGCTTTTTCTATAGAGTGTCTATATGCCATTTTGTTTTTCTTTGTTGACATAGTTGTTTGTTTTATAGTGATTAAGATTGTAACACAATGTTGACTGCTATACCCCAATTTTTGACATTTTTACATATAATGTCTATCGCACATCGTTGTCAATATTATGGAATTTTATGCAACTGTCACACAAGTGAGAGATTTAGCTAGCTATTATACCAGGTTTAATCCACCATTTTCTACATAAGCAGATAAGGAAATGATTGTTTCAAGTCAGGAATATGACAGTTGATTTCCATTCGGTTTAAGTGTTTGAGCTTTTGATTTTCATAAGGAAGGAATCTTTTCGTTTTGATTTTCCATGGAGTCGGGATTTTTGATTTTTTTACTTTTTGATTTTTGCAATTTGAAAAAGGACTTTCCGTTTAGAATTCTCCTTGGATTTCAATATTTTTGTTATTTTACATGTTTTTATCTTGCAGGGAAATTCAGAGTAAGATCAAGTATTCTAGAGGAACCCTATCAATTACCTTATTATACCTATTAGTGAAAAGTGGTTGAATTCACTAATGAAAGTTTAACGAGGTCTTCAACACCAGTAGGAGAAACTAGTATACTCCCTGATTGATAGACACAAGACAGGCGAATATAACTATAATAAAATTCAAAGCTGCAAACTCACTGGATATTTTGAAACATTTAATTCGTAATCAGCTGTCAATAATGTAGCTGGAGATTTTGCAATTTCTGATAATTGCAATTTATCCAAAAATCTTGGTTAAAACATGCAACCTTACTCTTAAAAGTTAAATAAAGAAATGCCTATGTTCCAAAGTCTGGAAAAATGGCGGGAAATGTTCATACAAATCCATTATAGCAGATGCACAACTGAAATATATGTCCAATCACTGTGTAAAGTTTAACGATCGGAGTTGAACACTGTATTTTCAAACACTGATATCATGAATCAATTATGATATAAGACCGTTCTAACACAATGATACATGTATACCAATTAATTATCATATTTAAAAGTAATTTATTTTTTTCTATTTTAGTTAAATATTGTTGATGGTTTCCGATCTATCAGGATGGTTGGAGCTGAGTAGTTTACTATTGGAAGAAATAACCCGATATGTGCTATGCAAGAGTTGGTTGCTAAAAATCTAAGTAGATTTCCATGTCTATAGTATTTATATTGTACGTGTTATCTATATTGATATATAAAAATGCTATCACTGAATTGAATGTGATACGCTAATCCTGAATAATACAATCAAATCTACTATGACAGTAATACAGGTTTAATTGAAAGTTGTGAAAATTATTAACTTCTCTTCCTTTAATAGTTGTCAGTAATATTTGGTATATAGATGTCCTTGTCATACATCATTTCCATGGGAGTATTTGGTCCATTAACTTTGAAATATTTGCAAAGTTTACGGTAAGTTAAGGCAGAGACATATAGTACAAGAGATTCGTAACTCGGCGAACTAACGTAATTTCTCCCGGCCACTAGGAAATCCTCGCGAGATCTCCTTTGGTAATTATGCAAAGTAATGATGAATGTTCTAAAATAACATCATAAACTGTTAATGAAACAGATCGGCTTTCAGTGTTAGGATTATCATAATCAAATTATATAATTATATAAGTTGGGTTCATACCTAATTACTTTATTTTAATTTATTTTTTATAACTCTGATTTAAGTTTTGTATTATTGATATAAAATTAACAGTTGATTATATAACCTTATTTCCACGGGACAATCCTTTGTAGTTTTTTTTTTGGTATTTTGACTGTAGAAAGGGGATGGCAGTTTTAAAGTAATATTGTTATCACATATATATATATGTAGACTGGAATAGTAACTGACACCAGTTTAATTTCTACAGTTAATTGTACTAATTTGTAAAATCCTTCAACACAATTGCCAAACACAGCTCTGCAAATAAAACAGTGCGCGAACTGGTGACAAAATATTACCTCCCCTGTAAACAGTGCGCTCTTCTGACTAGAGGCGATCGGTAAAGATAAACGGATGATGCTGTAATTGTTTTGCTTGTTTGAAATGAGCTAGCACAGACGACCAAAGACGTATCAACGGAATGTGAATATGATAATGAATCAGGTAAATTATTACTTGTTAAGTTTATTACCTTATTATCTTTAAATGATAGGTAAATGCATGAATTTTCAATTTTTAGCGTCGTCATGGTTCAAACTTGTAATCATGCCATCCTTTCAATAATTTTTTTTAATACTAACCAATGGTTGGAACACCTTGATTTTCTCCCAATTAGTAAAATTGATCATGTTGCTTGACATATATTTTTATCGGAAAAAAATTGATATGCAGCAAAGATTGGCACTTTATAATGTGTGTTGCTACGTGAAATAAAGGGAGGTAAATTAAAGTAAAAGTAGGCGCGCTTTTTCAAAATGTAAACAATTTAATTCAGATGCATGGTATTTTGCCAAATGATAAAAAAATATCATAGAAATTCTTCCAATTTATGCAAATTTCAGTAAAGAGATAATATGACATACTGAAATCCGAAAAAGGGTAAAAGTGTTGGTGCAAACATCATACCTTGAAAAAAGTGTGTGGGGGGAGGTAGTCTAGTCAATTTAGTGAACAACCTGCAACTAATTGCAACACAAAGTTTTTCTGTGAAAAATAAGTCTGTTACTATCTATGAACAAGATACTAAAACTATACAAAAATATATTTTGCGGAAAGTGGTGTAATTTATAAAAATGTTTTGTAGTAAAAGTAAGATTATATGAGTTGCTTCCCCTTATTTGCCAAAGTTGAAAAAAATAAAATTATACAAAAAATGTTCTGTATTTTTTAAAAACAGTTGAAATAATACAATACAATACATAATTATTTCAATTTAAAAGAATAATATTACAAATGAATCACTTTCCTGTCTCAAAATTTGTATATTTGAATAAAGATATAGACCGAGATTGTGTTCTGCTATTTTACAATCCAAGGAACTAATTCTCCAAAATAGTGTTGGTAAGTAACCTATAAATGGAAAATTGTATTGAACTGTACTGAATTAGAGTAACCAACTTAGTCACATTCTTACTTGGTATTTGAATGAATTCTGCCCCTGTGTTAAAGGCACAGACAGTTTAATTTTTTGTTTGGGAGGGGTTCCAGAAATACATGTTTTGTTCTTTATAAAAAAAATGTTATTGCAAGATTCAAAGTCATTAATGTATTTTTCTCCACAACTTTAGATAGAAAACAATATATTTTTTTTTCATTTACCTTCTGGAACAAACATGTTAAGATTTAGAATCCAACAATGTTTCATAAAATAATAAGAATAATAAGTGTTAAATGATTTTATGTTAAATATTTTTTCACAAATGAAAATTTCAGGCTCTTCGAACCAAATAGCTACTCATGTAATTTGCGACGATCTCAGTACTCACGCATCATATAAATAAAGCTTTGACTGTAACACTGAATCCGCTTTTCACTTTGGTTACTACAAGGATGTGTACTTATTTATATTTTAGTCGGTGCCAACATTATTTATTCCTCAACTCACTGTAATTACTAAGATTTGAACTAGCTATGAGAACTCAGTGTCTTTTTGTTAATTGGTTATATACTCCGTGCTGATCTTTTTGAGTTGAGCCCTTTCCAACTGGGTTTTACAATTTGTTCTTACGTTGTTTGCTATTTGAATAAAATTGAGAATGGGAATACTGTATGTCAAAGAGACAACAACCCAACCAGATCAAGAGCAGATAACAGCCGAAAGCCACCAATGGATCTTCAACGCAACGAAAAAATCCCGCACCAGGAGGTGGTCCTCAGCCGGCCCCTAAATAAAAACTGTTCCTGATTATTGGAGGGTTGAGTGCTCGCAAACAGGGTTAACCCTGCACACTATGAATATGATTATTACAAGTCAGTGGCCCTTTATTACTTGGTTGTTATTGTTTGCTGTCTGTCATATTTGTTTCTCCGTTTATTGTTTTAACATTAATCAGGCCTTTGAGTTTCTCGTTTGACTTGTTTTATATTTTGACGATGAACTATAGTTGTTTACATCCACACCAACATCATTGATATCTCTTGTGGAAAGTTTTCTCATCGGCAATCATACAACATTTTCTTATGTTTATAAAGTGGGAAGATCTTATAATAAGTGATGGTTTCATTTGTAAGTGATCAAACTTACTACCAAGAGATCACTGATAGAGTTTAGTGGACCTTAAAAGCTAAACATTTATATTCTTTTGGCATGAGGTGTATTTTTTAAAATATTTTTATAGTTTCTTTCAAATGAGTTGAATATAGGTCAGCATTCCGGAAGCAGAAAACAGCGTCTTTAACATTAATATATCTGTAATAGGGTATATTTATGAATAAAGAGAGATTTGAGGTTTTTAAAGTCAACGAGAAAGCAACCATAACGACTAATAAAAAACCAACAGACATACTTTCAGATTAGACATGACTATCTAAACGCTATCTCTGGCCATCAAAGTCGCCCACAGACACTACAAATTTTAATTCATACACAGATGATGCATGATCATTTTTTTTTTACAGTTCTTAGGCTAAAGCTGATTACCTTTTATTAAATTAATTCAATGAGATATATTAAATAAATAACTTGGTAATGCTTTTCTTTATATACTAGTAAGTATACATATATCTTTGACCATAATATTTTCATATAGCAGACAACCCATGTTAGTTCTTTGTCATTACCATATGGTTGATGTTTCATACCACCACATACATGCAGGTTTATAGGGTACACACATAAGGCGCTGTTACTATTAACACTTCCTCCAGGAAGTGATCCCATTAATTCATTCAACAGTGCTTATCTCATTTTCAACATCCAAAATTGGAACACTTTAGTACAATTACTATTTAAATTCAAGCTCTTGAGGTAAACTTAAAATCGTATTGACAAAGCTGCTCTTGAAATTGCCGTACACAATATCAGATCTACATTTAATTTTCGATCTATGAGTTTGACTGTCCCTCTGGTATCTGTTGCCCCTCTTTTAATGCTAATTCAGTGAACTAGTATATGTTCCTAAATTCAAAAAGCTTATATATCTGAAATTAAACGTGGATATTGATAGAGCTTGCTAAATAAAATTAGCAACACATTATGAGAAATCTGCAATCACATCGTCTGTGTTTAACTGTGACTTTATGCAATTCAAATATTGTAAAAGTAGCTAATGAAAAAATACACAAAAAGGACTACAGTCAATGACGATGCAAGGACAATAGAAAAATGACTTTTCCAGCAATTAACATGACAAAATCAAAGTCAGTAACCAAACTGAATTAGACTTATTTTTGAACACTATCATTTTTTGTTTATTATACCTACACGTATAATTACTATAAATACATAACCGAACCATAAGATAAAATTTCAAACTTCCACAAAATGCACATATTTAAAACTGAGTTTTACTGTGTGTTTGTTTATTCTATATATTGTCTAGAGAAACTAGGGGAGGGTTGAGTTCTCACACAACATGTTTTACCCCTGCCACATTATTGCACCTATCCCAAGTCAGGAACCTCTAGCCTTTGTTTGTCTTGTGTGTGTGTGGGTTTTTTTTGGTGATAATTTTGGTTCATTTGTATGTACTGCAGTTTAGGGTGGTGTCCATTTTGCTGAACTAGTGTACAAAATATTTAAGGGGTCAGCTGAAGCCCACCTCCGTGTGCCGGATTTACTTGCTATGTTTAAGACCCATTAGTGGCCTTGTTTTCTCTTTGACACATTCCCTGTTTCCATTCTTCATTTTTTCGTTTTTAAAAATTAAACTAGAAATAACCAAGATTTTAAAAATTTATATGCCCCTCACTAAGGGGCATTATATTTTTCTGTCTGTGCGTCTGTTTGTTTGTCCGTCTGTCCTGTTTCAGATTAAAGTTTTTTGTTAAAGTTTTTGGTCAAGGTAATTTTTGATGAAGTTGAAGTCCAATCATATTGAAATTTAGTACTAATGTTCCCTATGATAAGATCTTTCTAATTTTAATGCCAAAAAAAAGCGTTGACCCAATTTCACAGTCCAATGAACATAGAAAATGATAGTGTGGGTGGGGCATCCGTGTACTATGGATATATTCTGGTTTTGTAGTTAGTGTGTAAAACAAAATATTCCACACAGCAAATTGATTATTATTGATATCGATAACAAAAGGAACACATATGCGATAAACATAAGATAATATAGTCTGTCTATAAAGATCTTATGTTCAAAGTTTTAACCATGAATAATCGAGTTTTTTATTTCCATTTTTTCTACAAATCACATTTTACACATGAATTACAATTTTTTAAATACTAATAACTATAGGACTTCTTAAGATAAACATCAGATAGTATTCTCTATTTTCTGTTAAGATCCCAATTTGAAAGTTTTTACCATCAATAACCCAGATATTTTCATTTCCAGTTTTCCAGGTTTTCGGTCTCAAAACATATATTCAACCAAAATTACCAAAATATTAATATTCATATCTAAAGGACTTCACAAATAAAACATAAAATAGTATGTTCTTTTTTTCTATATAGATCAAATTTCAAAAATAATAACCATTAACAACGGAAATTTTCAACGTTTCCAATTTTCTGCGTTTTTTCACTAAAAATCATTCATTTCACCTCAAAATTACTTCAATATGAATAATAATAACTAGAGGACTACATAATACTCTATTAAGATAAGGTTTCCTGTCTTCAACAAGCTTTAGGTCTAAAAATGTAACCATAAATAACAATTGTTCTTCTTTTCCAGTTTTCAGCATTTTTTCTCTAAAAACCACATATTTCACCCCAAAATAACCTTTTCCGCAATTTATATCAATGTATAGTTTTAGTATGCTGTTAGTACAAGTCTATATTATAATTTGCACTAAAAAAACCTTGTGTTGCAATTAGTTGCAGGTTGAGCGATTTTAGAGCTAAATTGACTAGGCTAAGGGGAAGCAAGTTAACTTGTACCATTGCAAACTCGTAGCACGTCAACTCGTACCAATGCGAAGTTGTACCATTTTTAACTGGTACCATTAAAATATATGCATTGTTTTTAAAAATCTATATAAAATATTATTTT